AATGGGTAGGCCAGATATAAGAGAAACTGCAGGGTGTGGAGAGCATGAGATGGAGATGTAAAGAGCTAGGCCTAGCCAAGGAGGCCAGCATTGGGAACTGGAATCCACAGCAGAATGAAGAAGTCAAGAGATGTACCACACCATAAAAGAAAGGAAGACAGAGCTTCTCAAGATTCACAATCTTGCTCCCCCAACCCTGGAATCATCCCTGAGTCATAAAGAGTTGGAGACACAGGATTAAACCTGCTTGAATTAGAAGAGGAGGGAATGTCCTTTGCTCCAAGCACCTGTTGTCATTCAGGGCCAGCCTTCCTCTGCCTAAGGATTGTCCAACTCTTCTAGTCAATAATTCCAGAAAGTGACCAAGAACCACCAAGTCCCAGCCTTTTATTCACCAACTCATTTTAAAGAATCTACCTCCAAGAAAAGTGTTCTGAGGCCCTCTGGGGACAAGACTGAAGGTCTCCTAGTCAGCGACTAGATTGTTCCCCTCCTTGTCCCTCTTGTCCCCTCTGTCTCTCCTAGAATTTGGAGTCAGATTCCATGCTCTGAGGACATGCTCTTAACACAGTAAAACACAGCGTGTTGAAAAGATTAGGAGACCTGGATTCTAATCTGCTCAGCTACCAACACACTGTGTGATGTTGGGGAAGTCACTTTCCCTCTCCTGACTCAGGTTCCTATCTGTAAAATGAAGGGCTTGGTCAACATATCCTCTAAGGTCCCTTCTAGTTCTATTATTTTATATAGTTCTAGTGTTTGGGATCTGAGATCTGGCAGGGGGCAGGGGCAAAGCCAGTCTGTAAGCCGCAGGCGCCTTCTTCTTCCAGCGATGAAAGGAGGAGGGAGGTTCGGGAACATTTCCCCCACAGCCTCCTCCACCCCCCTCCCCTACCTCCCCTCTCTCTTCTCCTCTCCTCTCTGCTCCACCTGGGGAACAAGCCAGGTCGAGTTGCAGATGCAGAGCCTGCGGGGGCTATTTAAACAGCAGTGGGGGATGTGGGCAAGCAGGCAGCTGACCCATCCCCCCTTCCTCCCTCCCCAGGGGGGAAGTGACTGGCCTGGCCAGCAAGGGGCGGAGAGGAGTCTGCAGCTGTTCCTACCACCTGTGCCTGTCACGTTCCCGCCAGCCTGGTCCTCCCTCCACCCTCCTCTAGACTCTCCCACCCCCAGTGGCTGGAGGAGGTGAGAGGAGCAGACAGGAATGGGGGTGGGGGGCCCAGGAGTCCCGAAAGGCCAGGCTGGGGACCAGGCGGATCACCATGCTAATGAGTGCAGGGGATAGATGGATGAGTCACCGGACGCCCACGTAGGCAACTCCTCCCTCTTCAAACCGCCCCCCCCACCAAGTCCTGGCACTAGAGGCCCCAATCAAACACCTGTACGGGCGCCAGCGAGGGGCCTGTACTGTGCCATCTGTGGACTGTGCCCAGTGCCAGCTGCCTGGTGTTGGGGGGAAATGGAGGCAGGGGGATCGAGCCCTTGCAGGGGGAGAATGGACAGTGGTCTGGTCATCTCATTCCTTGGATTCAGTGGGAAGCATTAACCCTCCCATTAGGTCCCCTCCACCATCATCCCAAACCCAGACCTCAATCATTTTCCACATCAAAGACAAATCCCTTAGTAAGGGCTCTGAGGCTCCACACTCCACACCCCAGTTTTGTCCTGAGATTCCCCCAAGCAACCAAACCAGTTTTCTCTCTCATTCTCCCTTCCCTAACCTTGGGCATCAGACATCCTTGTCCCTTGGGCGAGGCCCACTGACCATTGCCCACCTTGAATTCTGGCTCTTAACTCAGGTTTCCAAACTTTTCCAGTTGTCCCTCAATCCCCTTCCCCTGCACTCCCCTGGCCCATTACCTGGGCTGAGTCTTAGCTAGTACCTAAGGGAAAGAGGCCAGTCTGTACCACACTTACACCAGGCCAACACAAGGGCAGGGTGGGAAGGACTATAGGGCACGTACCCACTCTCATCAGAATGGACAGGCAAGGGGATTGGGGGCAGGCAGCCTGTGCTTGTGTCTCTCATTTCTGGATCCTTGCACTGCTGTAGGGGCGGTCTGAGAGAAGGACGCCCACTGGTTCCAGCCCCTACCCTGGCTGGACAACCCCACCCCCCAGCTCCTCCGAGAAGACAAACGCCTGGAGAGATCACAAACAGCCACATGAAAGGGAATTTTTCTGGGGTAGAGATGGAGTTGAAAGCTACCTCCCCTGCCTGCATGCCCCCTCCCCCAAAGGCCCTCCAGCTCCTCTCTGGCCTGGGGAAAAGGGAAGGAGGGTGCTGGGAACTCAACCCAGACCCACTCCCACATATGCACAACACAGGCACATCCATGTGGCCACATACCCACGTCTTCCCTGATGCATTCATAAACATTTAGGAAAGAGCTTACCCACCCCTTCCATCCTGAGGGTGCCCCACCTTATTTCCCTGTTATATATACATATATATAGTATGTATGTATATATGTATGTATGTATGTGTAAATGGGTGACCAGGAAGGTTGGCAGAGTCCTAGATTCTCCCCACGGCTCAACTGTCACCAACTCCTAGGAAGGGAACTTGAAGTCACCCTGTTCATCCCCCCACTTCCATAAAGGACTGTGCCCTTCTTTCTGCACACCCAACTCATTCATTTCCATGCCAACCATCTGTCACCATCACCAAGTTCTTCCTTACTTCTAAGGAATTCCCTTGATCCCTCACACTACAATTCCACCCTCAAAAAGCATTCAGGTCCCCTGAAGAGCAGCTAGTATCTAGCTCAGGACAGAAACTTCCCTACCAGACTCCTTCTCCCCCCCTAACATACATATACCTCCTCACTTATTATCCTAATAATAATAGGTAGCACTTACATAGGCCCTTAAGATTTGAAAAGCACTTTACATAAACTCTCATTTTATTCTAGAATGTTAAGAGCTGGAAAGGACATGTTAAAGAGCTGGAAAGGATTGTAAGTCATCTCATTTTATAGAAGAAGAAACTGTCCCAGGAAGGCACTTGGACCCCCAAGTCATACAGATAAAGGCAGAGAGCCAAGACCAGAACCCAGGTCCTACATAATCAAAAAATATTAGAGCTATAAGGGACCTTTGAGATTTTCTAGTCCAACCCCATCATTTTACATATAAAATAACAAATCCAGACCTGAAGTCACTGTTATTGTGACTTGTTCAAGGTCATACAGCCAATAGAAGGTATAGTATAGACCTGAAGCTAGATCTTTTAACTCCCGCTTCCCACTGCTATCATCTGATACCCAGCATCCATGCCTATTGTGAGCTATCCTATTATCCAAACTCACCTCTCCAGTCCCATTCTCCATACCTCCCAAGCAGCCTAAGCTTGAATAACACCCCACTAGTGAAAAATCAAGTTGTGCCTACCAATGTCCCATAGGTGACTCCCATATTGACCCCAGCAGTTTTCCTCTCTGCCCCCCCCAGCCCATGTTCACCCCCCCTTTCCCCTTCGGGCTTTTCAGGAACTTCCACCTAGGTAGCATCCTCCCACATGGAGTATAGACACCTCTTAGCTTCCCCAGCTCAGTAACATTCCATTCCCGGGGCCCACGAAGCATCTTCATTGGACACAGCTCAACACATAATGGATCACTGGCCAAGCAATGATTCCTGGAAGAAAAACCCAGCCCCTCAAAGCCCAGAGCCCAAGGACACAGGGGAAAGCTAGGAAAAATGTTAGGTGTCCTGGGACTCTGAGATGCCCAGGTGTGTTTACTTCCCCAAGTGGAGACTGGAGTAAGGCTGGTCAAAGCTGTAGGATAGGCTAAATCCTGTTGGACAGTGTTCTGCATCTGGTAAGGAATGATTTTGGGGGCCAAATCACATGTAAGGGGAAGAGGATGTGCTAAGCTAATAGCTGCTCATTGGAAAGGAAGGTGTGGGGCAACTGCTCATATTAGAAAGGAAGGTATGGGGCAGCTAGGTGGTACAGTGGATAGAGCACTGGCCCTGGAGTCAGGACCTGAGTTCAAATGTGACCTCAGATATTTACTAGTTGTGTGATGTTAGGCAAGTCACTTAACCCCAATTGCCCCCCACCAAAAAAAGGATATGGAGATTTTGGGGGCAGCTGGGTGGTGCAATGGATAGAGCACTGGCCCTGGAGTCAGGACCTGAGTTCAAATCTGACCTGAGATACTTATTGTGTGACCCTTGACAAATCATTTAACCCCAACTGCCTCACGAAAAAAAAAAAAGAGGAAAGGCGTGGGGTATGGAGGAGGGGATAGTTAGAGATAAAGAGATATAGACACAAAGATTCCAAGTTAGAAAAGCAGGACCAGAAATAAAAAAAAAAAAACAATCAGGGGCTTGGTCAAGTAGAAGCCTGGTGTGCCAGGAACAGTGCTCTATGTGTGTAGGGAGGAATAGTGGAGAAATAAGTGTAGGGAAGACAAGGAATACACTATTATGTCCTCCACTCCTCCGACTCCCCAGCATGGGACCATGGGGCTGCTTTGAATAGCACAAAGCAGGGAGAGGGTCAGAAACAAGAAAAGCCCCAAATCCCCAGCTGGGAATAAAACCATGATTACTGTCAGCTTTGGGCCAGCATGGGGTCTGCAGCACATCCTCCCCACCCATCCCACCCACCATCAGAAGATTCACAGATCCATCCAGCTGTGGGTTATCTGAGGTCCAGGGACTTGGTGGGGGTTGGGGTGGGAAGATGGGGATGGAAGGGACTGCTGCCTTCTTTCTACCCCTACTAGATGAAAAGACCATTTCAAACAGTCTGTGTTTCCTCTGTTTCCTTGTAGACACCTCCTGTTCTTTCTTCCCAGAGAGCCCAGCTCTTCCTGTCTCCTAGATCCCGTGCCGGGGATAGAGTGTCAACACAACTCCTTGCAGGGTCCACAGATTTTCAGGGGGGTTTATGACACATCCATTTGGGGACAGTAGGGAGGAAGGAAGGGGAATGGGGTCATACCCAGGCCTCCCCACAAAACTGAAGATCAAGAACCAAGATGTGAATTGAGACACAAAACATGCATTCATTTTATTCACAAAACAGCCTGGTTCGCTAAAACAATACAAACAGCATGTCCATCAGCAGTAAGAGACCAGGGCCTGGGTGTGGTGATGTAGGTGGGGGGGGAGAGAATCCTCAGCCCCAGGGCACCCCCACTGCCCTGGGGACAGTTCTGTCTTTAACCTCAGTGAGATTATAAAAGTGATTTTTTTCTTTCTAAGTAAAACTGGGATTAGGGGCGCCTCTGTATGTGCAGCCCTAGATCCACATAACTTAGATAACAGAACTTTTAAAGTCATCATTGTCACCATGTTTAATTTTCTTTTGAAGGACCACTGGGTTATGACATGTTCTTCTTGGGGGGCGCCCACCTCTGACGATTTGCTCCTGGCTGCTAAGTTGCAGATGTAGATGGTTCTGGGGTGGGGGCTCTATATCTCTATAAACATATTCTCATTATAAACATGAAGTGGCGTACTCTAGGAAAACTATGCACTATTTTATGATGGGAAAGAATCAAACAAAGTTTAAATGAGGTGGAGTTAAACAACTGTGCTAAATTACAGTAGTGCTTATTAGTAACTAGATTTCAAAAGGTTACTGAAAATTTACATTCTCTACACAGAAACTGCATCTTCCACACAAACAACAGAAACATCAACACACGAAGGAAACTGATTGTCCATTCTCTGCTATTAAGTCTCCATACTTTACAGATTCATTTTTCTTTTTTTCTTCTTCTGCAAAGCAGTTAAATGTTTTTGTTTTTTTTTTTATTTTTTTTATACTAGAACGTGGAGATGTTAAAACAACAACAAAAAATATATATATAAAAACAGGAATGAAATCTGCGAGAGAATATTTTTGGTTCTAAAAGACATAGGTGCATCCATTCGTCTTCGCCCGAATTCCCTACTTGAGACAACACAAGCAAGGACATTGCACGAGATGGCAGCTCCGGGGCTCCACTCGTCACTGAAACCATCGGAAGGCGGCTCCCGTTGGAAGCATCACCTTCTGGAGAGAAAGGAAGAGAAGGAAGGATGGGGTGGGGAGACAGGAGAGACAAACAAGTGGAGTTAAGTCACAGGCTGGGGGTGGCTGGCCCCCCAAAAGCCCTCACTTATTCCCTACCCTAGACCTCAGTAGGCTTGCTTTCTGTACTCCTTCACTCCTTCCTCTCCATGCTGCTGTTGCCATCACCAACATGGATTGCCTCTTGTACTGAAGTACACTAGAGAACAAAAGAAACCCATTGGACCTCTCTGGCAATGGAACTTTGGAAAAGGATCTCTTCTCCAAGCCATTGATAGGCCCAGTGTAGGTGCTGAGCCATGTTATCTATAGGAAGCTTGGTCCTAGGAAGCTATCTGTATCAGAGATCCTTCCAAAACCAGTGCCCCGCCCTCTACCAGTCCTACCCCTGGATTCTCAGAGGAGTTCAGGTTTTGGCCTTCTTGGTATGATTACAATTTCGGTTTTGGTTATGGTTTTGCCTTTCTTGTTATCCCCCATGCTTAACACAATGCCTGGCACATAGTAAGGGCTTTAAAATGCTTGTTGACTATTGTTTCATTGGGGGGAGGGGATTTATAACTCAGCATTTTGCTGCATTAAGGAAGACTTCCCCCTCTAAAATATGTGTCCTGTACTATCCCACTCCCCTACTTCCCCTTTGAGGGAGGGGAAGCAGATCTCTCTTCTCTTGGAATTCAGCCCTCAGCTCTCAACCACACCAACAACACTGAAGGAGGTGAAGGCTGAGTGTGAGCCCATCCCTCCCCCAAATTATCCTTTTCTACTTTCTGCTTCCAACCAGCTGGCCTGGTAACCAGGTAACCAAGCCCTCCAGAATTCCCTAACTCTAGACTAGAGAAATGTGGTTGTTCAGCTGAGTCTATATGGGGAGAGGGCAAAGAAGGGGAGTCCTCCTTAGACCCTTCTATATCTATACATCAATACCCTATTCCCCTTAGCCCCATGAACCAAAGGAAGAAAGGAAGCCCAGTGACTTGAAATCTGGAGTCTAAGACAGATCTCTCCTGGGGAAAAGGGGTTGGGTACTACTCTTATGGGAATCCTGCACTCATAATCCCCAAGGGCTGCCAGGTGGCCCCGACTCTCCCTGGCCTTTCTGAAGCTGACCTGTCTCAGTCCTTTTGCCTACCTCATCCAAAGCTTACTCTATCATTTCCTAGAACCTTTTCAAAATGACTGCTGAGGTCATCAAGAAGGATAGGAACAGGGCTTGATACTGAGGGTCTTAACACTGAAGACTCAGGATGAGGCCCATGGGTGTCCAAAGGACCAAGCAAACTTAAGTCTGTGTGTAACTCTGTACCCATGCTTATGTCTATGTATTTGTATACTTTTTCCTACTGAGTCAATGTGTCTATCTGCACGGCTACATTGTGTGCAGATTTTATGAATGTATATGTAGCCATTTGTTGTATTTATCTGTTTATGCAATCTGTGTTTGTGTAACAAACAGCTAATTCTCTGGGTGAGGAAGGGAGGGAGGGAAGGGGGCTGAAGGGGGAACCCAGGCCTTTGGTGCCAGGGACACAATCATTGTTTTCCAACCATTCCTACAATTTGCAATCAAATCAAGTTGGGGGGGGGGGTCACAGGGGGAGGAATGGGCCTGTCTGAAAAGATGCTTTTGTGCTAGACATACCACACCAGCGGGCCAGCAACAGGCTCTACCCTCCAGAGAAGAGTAGTCCCAGGGAAAGGGGTGGGGGAAAAGGGAGGGTATTATGACCCCTTAAGTTTGGGCCTAGATGGTATCCCTTCCCTGGGATGACATGCCTCCCAGACAACCCCACTTTGAAGGAAAGTTATTGGAGTGAGGCATACCCCACTTGGAGAATACTCCCCACCCTGTCTCCCCAGAAGTAAAAGAATGCTAACTACCAAGCAGCCTGCCAGGTTTCGTACAACACAGAGGACCCAGGCTCCATAAACTCGGGCTATCACTCCAATGGGCTTGGATGGCTATTCTAAGGGCTGGAGGTAATGAATCTCACAGGGCCTTATCAACCAAGGGAATGACCACGTACCAGGTCCTTGTTCGTTAATGAGCAGTTTGACCAGACCCAGGGTGGGGGAGGGGGAAGGTGTATATGTGTGAAATCTCATTATCTATGGGGGCTGAGCAGGGGAGGGTAGGAAAGAGCTGGCTGGCTCAGCTAGAGGGAGCACAATGGATGGGCAAATCCCGCTCCACCCCTACTGGTCAGAGCAGTAGCTCAGAATCTAAGCAGGCCTTCCCACTTGGGCTTGTATGGAGGAATATCAGGGTCAGGGGACAGACAAAGGAGATTGGGAGAGATAGCCTGGGAAGCTAGGGCAGGGACCCTATTCTAACAGGTTACCTCCAGAGCAGCAGAAGGCTTCTTTTTGAGCTCCTCACATTTTCTGAATTTGCAAATCTGGTGGCCAGTTTTTCGGTTCCGACAACTGCTACACTGCTCGCAGTTTATCCGCCGTCGGCAGGGCGGGCACATGCCGCAACGTTTCCGTTTCTTCTTGCCCGAGCTGATGGCAGAAGCCAGCTCACTCTGCATAGGATATTCTGCTAGGCCTGCCATGTGCAAGGCGCTCTCAGCCAGGAACACACCTGCGGGCGTCATGATAAAGAGGCCCGGATTGATGGGGAAGGCGCCTAGGTAGGGGAAGTCGGAAGGGCCATTCAGGGCCTCAGTGCCTGACACGGCCTCCATGTCTGGGAGCCCAGCCCCAGCCTCACTCATCAGGGGAAGGTGTTCCTGAACCACCCGTTTCAGCATCTCTGTGGACTGAGCAAACTGTTGCAGTGTCAGCTGTCCTTCGGCAGAGAGCTCTGCGGCCCGTTCCGCCTTGCTGAGCAGACTGGCCACAGCACCACTTTTGTGCTTTGAGGTAGAGTTGGTTTTGTCCATGGGCGGGTCGTGCCCATTGGCCAGCCCAGAGGCAGCAGCTGCCTTGTCCACCAGCTCACCCACCGAGCTGCCACCACTGAAGGAAGAGTAGTGGGACAGAGGCCGAGACTTCCGCAGACTCTTGTTGAGGGGCTCACTGATGATGCCACTCTTGTTCCGTCGCTCTGGGTTGGCAGGGGGAAGGGTCTCATCTGAACTGCATTTCTCTACAGTGCCTGACTTACTGCTGCTACTGCTGCTGCTGCCGCCACTATCGGGCTGTGGACTGCCAACAAGACTAGACATGGTTGGGGCCAGGGCCGGGATGGCAACTGAGCCCCGTCAGGGGAGCTTCCCAACCAACCCTGAGCCCAGGAATGGGCTCTCGCCCCTGATGGCCAGGGATGACGCTGACACCGACAGAATATGGAGCTGGCCTCAAGGCAGATGCATGGTCTGGAAGCCTGCTACTCTGCAAGGACAAGACAGAGCAGAATTAGGACACAGCCACCCCATGGTTCTAACACTCTCCCCCCAACCCAAAGAGAGTATTGTGTAGTAGCAGAAAGGCCACTGACTTTAAAATGACAGGATCTGGGGTCAAATATCAGTTCTGCTACTTAATATCTTCCACTTTGGACTCTTATTGGCTGTGTGACCCTGGAAAAAATGTATTAACTTCTCTGTACGTGTTTCCTCAGCTGTAAAATTAGGGGGTTGGCCTTGATGATTTCTAAGGTCCCTTACAGCACTAAATCTATAATCTAATGACCTATGAGACCTTGAGCAAGTTATTTCTCTTTGTTCCTTAGAGTCTTTACCTATAAATGGGAGGATTAGATTAGTCCTCTACTCTCTCACCTAGTTCCTATAATCCTAAAAAGTTTTCCGGTTTTTTTGGGGGGGGGGAGGAACAGATGACTGAAGATCATACAGTACCTCATGCATCTGATATATAGCACATGATCCATCCCAGAACAAGGTCACTATAGTATCACAGACCTAGGGCTATAAGGACCCTCAGAAACCTCGAGACCAACCCTTTCATTTTATAGGAAAAATCTGCAGGGAGCCAGAATATATTTTTGGGGGGTCAGTTCATAAAGTATCCCCCCCAGTACTTCATCCCCCACTAGGCTCAGGCAAGGAGAATAAAGAGTGACTGCAGTGTTGACAGAGGCCCCTCACCTAGGCAGCAGGTACAGGGTGTCTGGGCCAACTTCATTTCCTAATATCTAATCCCCAACCAGGCCCCAGGAAGAAAAAGTGTTCCTATTAATGAAACACCCCTGACTCCCCCATCCCTTTACTTCTAAAGATATTTGGAAAGTTTCTCACTCATCCTTTTTCTGTTTAGGCTGAAGAATCAACATAATGACTAATAGGTCAAACTACCTAAGACTAGGGAGATCTGTACCCATTTCCCCCAGCACTTGGGTCTCCATGAAACTGGAAAGAAATGGGGACGGATAGCCCTATACCTACCCTCCCCCAACCATGTGACCTTGTCATTTCCCCATCTTTGGGCCTACTTCTTCATCCATCAAATTGAAAATAATTAGATTGGATGGTCTTTTAGGCCCCTCTGAGCACTAATGTTTTCTAAGTTAATATGGTCCGTTAACGACTACATTCCAGGTTTCCTAACAGCCCTGCTACACTGGGGTCTTGGTGAAGCCCTTGTTTCAGAGCAAAGAGATACTGTAGTAACCAGGCCCTGGAGGGTTAGGGAGGTCCATGGAGGGGCAGGCCTCATTTATCATGCCTTGATCCATCCCAGAACAAGTCAAAAGGTCACTTATAGTATCACAGATCTAGGACTCCAAGGATCCTCAGAAATCCTGAGATCAACCCTTTCATTTTACAGATGAGGAAGTTAAGTTCCAGACTTGCCCAGGTTCACACAGTACTATGTGATACCCTTCTCTACTCTTCCTCTAATGCTGATGAGGGGGGAAAGAATTGTCTTATTCCATGTTAGCCAATCTTCTGCCTCGTGCCCTCAAAAGAAAAAAATCTGTCCTCAAGGACGCTGACCACCACTGCATCTGAGAAGATGAGGGTGTGGCTTTCATTTAGGGTCAACCCAAGAGCAGGGTCCATGGTTACCCAAAGGCTTTCAGGAGCCATCATCATGTCTTGATAGCCCGGTGGTGGATTTCTGGCATCTGTAGTAACTGCTGCCCTTCTCTGCTTGGGGGTGGGGGACAGCCCATGGTCTCCCACCCATTTGGGAGCTCCAAGAGGGAGGGTCAGAGCCAGAGGGCCTGGGTAGGGTGGAACAGTGCTGCCCGCTGAGCGGGTTGTTTGTTCATTGGGAGAGACTCACATCTGGTTGGAGCTCCACCCCCACCCCCCCACCCAGTCGGGCACACACTGACTCTTTGTCCTGTTCGCCAGCCCGCCAGGCCCTGGAGCCCTTTGCCGCCCTCCTCCCTAGTCTTCCCACACCACCATCACACACACCCCCCTCCAATGAGTAGCCCTTGCATTAGAGGGGTGTGGGGGTAGGGATAATGACTAGAGTGAGAAAGAAGCTGAGAAAAGGGGATAATATTGGGAGCCCTGGTTCATGAAAGGACACCAGAGTCCCGAGTATGGGTAATGACAGCAGCAGGACACAGCTTTCTCTCCCCTAAAGTGCTTAGACACTCCCCATCCCACCCCAAGGACACAGACAAGGGTGGGTGTTTGCTGACAACACACTGCCAACTCCACATTATCTGCAGCAATGGGAGGGATGGCGGCCAGGCTAGGGCATAGATAATCTGAAACCTGTGTCTCATAGGCTCTGGAACATTAAAATTTGCCCCATGGGTAGATTTTCCCAACTCAGTTTGGCTCAGGTTAACCATGACATAGTACTTGAGCAAAAAGAAGATGGTGGAATCTCAAAGCGTGACAATGGCTCCTGAGAGCCCTTAGATCCCCACAGACCCTGCTCTCAGGTTTTGAGGCTGCTCTTGGGCTGACAATCCCCTTAGCAAGTGCTGCTACAAGGAAGGAAAGAAATTGCAAAGGAAGGATGCCAGCAGAAGGTATTGTGGTCTGCTCTAGGCGCCCATCCTATCTAGCCCCAGGACCTGGGGATAGGAGCAGGAGGTGCCAAATATTTCAAAATATTCCCAGATCTAAATCCAAAAATGCTGTTTTTGAAGTCAGAGGACTTGAATTCAAATCTGGAATTTTGTCATCTTTTTGACCAAGGACAAATTACTTCTTTAGGCATCAATTTCCTTATCTGCAAAATAAGGGGGGTGGATTAGATGGATTAGTTGTATTAGGCCTTCTAAAGGCTCCTCCAACTCCAAATCTATCATCCCATCATACCAACCTGCAGCCAAGATAGCGACCCTTCCCGTCTGTATTTGAGTGGGGGCTGGGTGCCCTAAAGAGCATGGATGTGGACATCATGTGATGATGAATGGGGATGAGTGAGAAGGAGGGTAGGGACCAATCATAGCAGACCCAGTCAAGAGGGAAATCTCCACGGATATCTGTTCCAAAGAATCCCTTTGGACCAAATTAGATGCCCCACACCTCCACTCAAGGCCCAGAATGACAGTCACTACCCCCCCCCCCAGCTATGAGTAACAAAGACAGCATTGGGCTAGAGGACCTGAGCTTCCAGTGGGAAAGGATGAGGTGGATGGGGTAGAGAAATTTCTGAAAGTACCCAGGCCCAGCTCCACCCCAGGTAAAAAGTTCACTGTTAAAGAGTAGGCTGGGGCCAAAAGTCAATCCTTCTAAGGTTTTGCCCCTTCCAGAATCTGCCCACATACCCCAAGCCTCTCAGTTTAGCCTCATTCCCAAAGGTATACTTTGGTTCCTATTGGGTTGGAATGGAGAGAAGCTCAATGCAATGGGAGAGATAGTCTCTAAGACTGTCCCCAGAACAGAGAGGAGCAGGAGGAACAAAGTGACTTTGCCAACAATGACCTCTTGGAGTCATCCTGTCTAACCTCCTCCCTCTGAGAACCCATCCTAGTGTCCCCTACCCCCATCCCCCTAAGAGGAGTCTATCCTTACAATGTTTCTGAACCTACTTGTTCAAGAGTCTTTGAAACCCATGGGGTCCTTCCTTGTGTTTAACCTAAATTCACCCCTACTCCCCGCCCCCAACAAAATCATAGAGATAAAGAGATTTAGCTGTGAGCCAGGAAGAAGTCCTATGAAGGATTTGCCCTATGAATAGCGATAAAGGGATGGGTCAATTTTGGGCCATGTCTTCAGAAAACCCCACTCCCACTCACTCCACTTGTTGTTGTTTGTCTTTCGTTCTTGAAGAGGACCATGACATCTGGGAGGTGATGCCATGACATGCAAGTGAATTGGATTTAAGTGAAGGAGGGTGTACAAAGTCACCAGCCTCACTTTCTCCTCTGGAACCATCTGGGTCCAGTGGCAAGATATACCCACTGGAGACAAGGACTGAACCATAGGCCTTAGGAGGACTGTGAGTTGGGGCAGTCAGACTCCACAGCCTCCAGAAGCTCTAAGCTGGGAGAATAAGAAGTTGCCGATGTCTCTCAAAACCCAATAAGGATTTCAGTCTCAACATGAAATGAGAAGTGTGCTAGACAAGAGAATCCTAAATCTCTGAGTTCTACTTCCGGCTGTGTGATCTTGACCAAATCACATCCCCTCTCTGTGCCTCAGTTTCCTTTCTAGTAAGAGAGGCTAAGGCTTCTTCCAGTTTTAAAAATCTTGATTCCCCTCCTCCCAAATCACCAACTGCCCTCAAAAAGTCAGAGAATGAGGCAGAAGGAGTCTCTCTACCCTAGGAGGAAGCAATCGAGCTGTGCTCTCTGCCAGCCCTAGCTAGTGACAGAAATCAATAGCCGAATTACTGGAGAACTCAGCTCCCTCCTTCTCTTTCCTCAGGGCTTAGGCTCCTCCAGAGCAGGTCAAATAGAAGTCAGCTCCTTCCACCACCATTGTCTTCTCCACTGTACCCCCAAGGGAAATAGACAAGAAAAGAAGGCAGTATGAGACACTAAGACTCCCCTCTCAGCCCTTCTCCAGCTCCAGTTTCACTGGGTTTGCATCTATTAGTCTGTATCTCCTTTGAATGCTCTGTCTAGGTCTCTCTAGTATCCATGTCTCTGTTTGCCTGAGACTCTCTTCCCAAAACCCTTCTTTGCCCTGCCTCAGGCAAAGAAAACTAGAGATTCTGAGGGACAGGCCCCATCTCTTTCCCCAGGGCCTGCTTGTATAGGACCCTAACCCTAAGTCTGGGCATCTCCCTCATCACATCCAGACTAGCCGGGGGAGAGACTTAAGCTCAGGAGACATGAGATGTCAAGGAACAGGTGTTTTGGGACAAAGCACTATCAGCCTAGGAAGCTGGGGCTGGAGAAACTCCACTCCACTGCCCAGACAGAAGGTAAGAGGTCACAGTAAGAAGGTTAGGCCTCTCAAAATGTCCTAAAGGAAATGTGGGTAGAGGGGAGTAGACAGGCAAGACTCTCTGAGTCCCTAAGACCTAACTCACAGAACCAAAAAAATGTCAAACCTGGAAGGGACTGGAGAGAACATCCCTTTCATTCTACAGTTGGGGAAACAGAGCCTCAGAGAGAAGAAAATTACTTGTCCTTAGTCACCCTGCTAGTAGGCAGAGGGTAAACCCTAAACCCTTTCAAATGTGTTCCAGTGAATCAAAAAGTCTTTATCTTGGAAGGAGGGAAAGAAGAAAAGATGGAGGAAGGGAAGGAAGGAAGGAAAGAAGGAGGGAGGGAGGCAGGCAGTAAGGAAGAATAAAAGAAAATGGATCAAGTTAAGGAAGAAGAAAGGAAGGGAGGAAGTGCCTACCATGTGCCAGGTACTATACTAAGTGCTTTACAAATATTATTTCATTTGATACTTACAGCAACCCTATTATGATCCCCATTTTACAGTAGAGAAAACAAAGGCAGGGGTGAAGTGATTTGCCCAGGGTTACACCGCTAGTAAGTATCTGAGGCTGGATTTGAACTCAAGTTTTCTTGACTCCAAACCCAAAAGTCTAAGCACTGGCCTACCTAGAAGAGGGGTGTGTGTGTGTGTGTGTATTTGGGGACAAGGGGGGAAGAAAGGGTCCATATATGGAAGCTTCTATTCCCTTTCCCCCATCCACCTCCAGCACGCTGCTCGCCTCAGCACCCCGCTCCTCCACCCCACATTGGCACATCCTATCAGCCCATCCCCGCCATTCTCCTGCAGGCTGTTCAGAAGGGTCCTTAGCAGAGCTCCTGCCATCCAGAGATAGGGGAATCTGGCAGGCACAGTCACCAGTCACTCCAGGCTCTTCCCCCAACCTGTGGCCTGCCCCCAAAGCTTCCTGCAGCTCATCCTCCTTTGACTCTTTCCCTTGAGGCCTGCCTGCTTCTGGAAAGACCTTCATTCAGTTCCCTCCCTCCCTCCAGTCTATCCTCCCACCCAACTCTGGATATGCCTCATCTGTTTTAACTTAGCCTGGGGTGGGGGCAGGGGTGGGAATCTCAAGTTTGATGAATCCTCAGCCCCTTCCAGCCTTCTGGAGCAGAGCTAGGAGGGAAGGGCCACCCTGACAACTGAGAGTTAGCTGAGGTCAATAAGACTAATGTTCTGTGCTCTAGTCTGAGTAGACCTCAGTCTCCTTGAGAGGTGGTTTCTGAGATAATTGCCCTAGATACTTAGAAAAGAAAGGATAGAAGACACAAGAGTGAGCTTCACAAAAAGAAAAGGACTTCCCCCAAGCCCCTCCAAAGCACTTTATGCCTTTGACAAGATTGTCTCAGTCCCACTCCCCCAACTCATTGGTGGTCCCAGAGATCTGCTCATGGAACAGCGATAAGTATTTACAATGAGCTATAAGGAGGCCACCCAGTCTCCCTACCAGCTCCCTAAAGCTCATGCCTTCATCCACCATTCACCAGATTGGTTAAAGACAGCACAGCCAGATTGCTCCACAACATCTGATACCCTCCTCCACCACAAAGTCCCCTACTGGTCATGGAAGTCTTTGAGAGGCTGGGGTGGCATGGGCTACCAAGGTGCCAATGGAAAGGAGTTACAGCCTGGGGAGGCTGAGAGGGTAGCAGGGTAGGGGGGAAGAAAGGCAAGCAAGCTTTGGCCCTGGGCAAGGAATCCAAAATGCCGCTGCTGGAAGGGAGAGAGCATCCATCATCAACCCTGCCAGGAATACATCCAGCCCCCAAAAAGAAATACTGCCGACTAAAGAGAGGACAACAAAGGGCTCCGTTTCATCAGCAATGCGGAGCCAGCGGCGCCCGGCCGGCCAGCCCATCGGTCATCCCACAAAGGTCTTGATTGTCTGAGTGTATGTGTGTGTGTGTGGCAGAAGTGGGGGAGGAGAGGATGGAACATTGCACTGAGGGTAGACAGAGTCACCAAGAGCTGAGACACAGAGAAAGAGGGACAGGAATACAAAGAGACTAAGACAGAGATGGAGGACAGAGACAGAGAGACTGAGACATAGACACGGGGACAGACAGAGAGACACAGAGGCAGGGGACAGGGGGAACAGACAGAGACACTGAAAGACTGAGACACAAAAACAGGGACAGAAAGACCCAGAGAGATAGAGAGGAAGACAGAGACAGAAAGAGATACAAAATGTCAGAGACAGAAGAATAAATGGAAAGACAGACACAGAAACAGGACAGAAAGAGGCAGCTCAAGACAGACATAAGCAACTAGAGACTGAGGAGAAACAGTATGAGAAGCTATAAGCCAGATATAGAGAATGACAGAGATGAATGGAAACCAAGGAATACATTGAAAGAAGATTCCAATGTAACCACCCCAAGACCCTCATAGCCATTAGAAGTTCCCCTCACCCAGGCTCTTTCCTCAGAAGGGTCTCTTATTGGAGCATCTAGACTTCTCACAACTTAAAGCAAAGGACTAGCCCTGGGCTGAGTTACCCCCAACTCTTCTGCTCTGTGCCCAGACCAAAGGTCCTCCTGAGTCACGGGCACTCTGGGGACAGATGTTACAATCTGAAGACCCAAGAAGGGAATGGCCTTTCAACCCTGTTCTGCAAGAGGTTCCCTCTTCCCTACTGCAGAAGGGCCAACCCACCATTTTCCTCCCTTTCCTCCAAGGTCCTGGTCCTCAAACATGGCTCTCAATCACACTTGAGGCCCAAGGCTAATCAGAAGCTTTGCAGTCACCTTTGATCTTTTCTGTCTTCCTTGATCTGTTCCCCTCCCCCTCTGGGCTTCAGTGCCAGGGGGTACCCACCTCCCTCCACAAAGCTCTTCACACCAGCTGCAGGAGCTCCCAGGCAGAAGAAGCCCAGTCAGAGTAGATGGGGAAAGGGGGTGGGGATAGGGTGTCAGTCCTGGACCATCTAGGGGAGTTCCTGGTGTCAGGGCCTGGCAGTGGGGTGGGTCTCCTCCTGCAAGTTGATCCTCATTGGTGGAACTGCATAAAAGAGTGAACATCAGACTTAGAAGGATTCCTCCCTGGACAACTTGGTGAGATCACACTCTCTCTCGAATTTTCCCCATCCCTACAGGCTCATTTCTGGGAGAGATGGGTGGAGGGGGAGTAACTCATCTGGAACCCTTCTTCCTACCCATCACCCAAGTGAAACCACAGCACCAGGTCCCGTCTGCAACCCTAGTATCATTACCTCAGAGGCCTACAGGAATTAGAAGTGGGGAGTGGCTACAAGGCATCAAATCCAAACCCTTCATTTTAATAAAGCAATAGAGGTCCAGACAGTTTAAGTCTAACAAGTTGTCTAAGATCACAATAGCAAAGCTAGGATTCAAACCCACATTCCCTGACTCCAAATCTGGTGTTCTTCCCCCTATTTTAAGCAGCCCCTGCTCTTCTACTCAATAAGCTCCCAACCCAAGATCAATTCATGAAGGTAGGACCCCCAGAAAATTCCCTCCAACCCATTTAGAGTCCTGTATTTAGCTCTAAAACCGAACCTAGCAACAAAAGAAACGAGAGACTAGGTCATGGGACTGGGAAGGTCTGGGATATAGTTCCAGCTCTGCCTGACACATTCTGAGGCATTGCCTGCATCATGGCCCTTCTCAAGGTCTTGGATTCTCTATCTGAGAAATGGGGAGGTTCATCCCTGCCTTCCCAATAAACAGATGTGAATTTGCTCAGCCCCAGGCCACAGAATGGAGAAGTGGCTTCCAACATTCCCCTCTTTCCTTCTAAATGCTCTCTGTCTGCCACTGCTACCCTTCTGTGTGAGAGTCACCTTCAAAAAATAAAAGGTCAGACCCTGAAGAGAATCCCTGGAGGTACCTCCAAACCCCAAGGGGAGCAGGGATTGGGAATTTACTTTGGCAATCAACTCCCAATGTTCCAGGGAGGGCTGTGGGCAGGGCTCCTACCCAGGGATTCTGTACTACAGGGCTTTGGGGAGCAGAGGAAGGGGACAACATTGGCCCTGTGTGAATAGAGTGCTGTCCCGGTGTTTGGAATGCTACGCCAATGACATCATAATGCTGGTGCTTATGTCATGGGTAAAGTGGTTGAGAATGCCTTCTCTAGACTTCTCTTCTCATTCTCCATCCCTATTCCTAGAACATACACCTCCTTTAATCCATCCTGTACACCACAATCTGAATAATCCTCTTAATGCACAGCACTGATTACATAACATTCCCTGACTAAGAACCATGAAAGGCTCCCCAGTACCTACAAATCAAGAACAAACTCTAAGCTGACTCTCAAACGCCCTGTAGAATGTGGTCCCAGCTTGTGTCTTCAACACTTCCTAGCGTGTGTCTCAACACTTCCCTACTGAACCAGCCTTGCTCAAACCAGATTAGTCTATTCACCATGCCCCCAGTTTACTAAACGTGCCCCCAATTCCCTATGCATTTGCTCATGTTACTTCTCCTAAACCAAAACATCTCCCCCACCTCTCCTCTTTGGCACCAGTCCAAAATCTTTAGGGCCAAGGTCAAGTCCCATCCCTTCTTGATTCCTTAGCTTGTGGTCCCGCTAAGATAAAGGTCCCCACAGAGAAAGGGGAACACACATACACATACTTAGACACAGGCACACACATCAAACTGGGCACACCAGGGCAAACTGGACAGAAGGACAGACAGGAATGGCAGCCTCAGGCAGCACTAGTTGTTGAATTGGGCTGATTAACAAGGTAAATGTTTCATCCCTTTCTGATCCCTGATTCTATTCTGAGAACTTCCCGTGGAAGAAAGCCACACGGAAAGACAGGGAGATACATGGAAATGCATATGTTTGGCAGCTGGCAAATTTATCAAGAGGTAGAGGAATGGTCTCAATTATATCAAGGTCATCTCTAGACCTGATGACTCTATGACCAGCATCTCTCCCCACAACCCCTCTGCTAGAACCAGAGCAACCATGTCAATATAGGGCCTTAATTTCGCTGACATGTGGTCAAAATGAATTACCCACTAGCCAAGACCACAAGAATAAAGGGGTCCCTTTGCCCCCAAAGGCATGCCAGGCCAACATTAAGAACTGAACAACAGGACTGGGGAGCAGCTTAGAAATGGTCCTACAGCTCCCTAACTCCAGCACCTTCAGAGCCCTCCTGAAAGGAGGGAAGGTACATACTACTAGGAAACCCAAAAGAAATCTGCTAAACATGGGTCTTCCCAGAACATACACACACACACACACACACACACACACACACACACACACACCCCTTTTCACTGGGTTTTCACAAGCCCCCACTGTGAGGCAGGAAGGCCAAGGTCATTTCCCCCGTTTTATAAATGAAAAAAACTGAAGTCCAAAGAAGTTGCCCAAGGCCAGACATTAAGCCAGTTGGGTACAGCCAAGAGCAGAAGCCATATTGTCCCACCCCCAATCTGTTATACTGCCAACAACACTATCCAGCTGACTTTAAAATTTTTACCCAGAACCCAGGGATCCAGGCTCTCTACCAAGATCCAGGGTCATTGCTGAAATAAAAGAGTTAGCATTTATAAAGCTCTTTAAGGTTTGCAAAGCAGTTTATACATATTCACTTATTTGATCCTCACAACAATTCTATGTGGTACATGTTCTTGGGATCCCCATTTTACAGATAAGGTAATTAAGGCAGCGACAGATCAGAGTCACCCATCTGTCTCTAAAGTGTGTAAGCATTCAAATACAGATTTTCTTGACTCCACGTCCAGCCTCTATCCACAACAGCATGGTGGGGCAGGGGTTAGTGGGGGGGGGTGGATATATGTGTGAAGAAGTGGTCCTTCTCTAAGTGATCCACTCTAAAACTGTGTGTATCCGTCTATATCTGTGTCCTTGGATAGAAAGGTTTGTGATTCCTTGCCATGCTACTCAGGCTATGGTGAGAGTGGCACAGAGGTTTATGGTAGATGACTAGTCCTTCCAAGATATGAGTACTCTGCCAACAAGTGAAATTTTGCAAATGTGAAATGAAAAGATCCTTGGAGTCTTCATGAGCTGTACCTCTCCCACTAAGGGTCAGGTGGGTGTCTGATCCTCACCCTGATAACCTCATGTTGCTTAAGTAGCAGGGTTTTATAGGTCAGCAGGGGATATATTGAAGAAAAAAGCATCCCTCTACTCTCAGAGTACAAAGAAAAGAGCACTGACTCTGGAGCTGGAGGACCTGAATTCAAATCCCACCTCTGATACTACCTGTGTCACCTTGGACATGTCATTTCACTGACACAGCCCTAATTTCCTTATCTGTAAAATGAGGGATTTAGACTAGATAACCTCTGAAGTTTCCTCCACCTCTAGAATGCTGATTCTATGATCTTGGTGACTCATAGCAGATCAGAGCTAAAAGAAACCTTAAAAAACATCAAATCCAGCTTCACTTTACACAAAGAGGACATGAGGGCCAGAGAAGAAAGTGACTTGCCCAAGGTCACACTATCAATAGCAGAGTCAGAACTGAGCCCCCAGACCTAGCTTCGCCTTGGTCTTTCCTCCAGAGAGTAGGGCAATGTAGATGAGTGGCTGGGATAGCAGCTCTGGGAGGAGGAAGAGGAGGAGGAGGAGGAGGCGGCTGGATGTCTCTACAGGAAGTCAAACAGCAGGGAAACACCACTTGTTCTCCTCCCCCAGCATCCCCCTGGCTATCCCAGCAGGCTCCACACAAGCTCTCATTGTACAAGGGCTGCATTGCTCTGCCACAGCCCTGGGTTCTTGGGTTTTGAGTTTCCTGGAGGGTGAGGAGTGGGAAGAGTCAGCCTCAGCCACCACACAAGGCCTCCAGCTGCTCCAGTTGCCTTCCTTGTCCAGCAACCCTCCCCCCCATATCAGAACAGGCTGGGTCACAGGGTGAAGGGGATGAGAACCACATTCCAACCTGGGAGATTTCCCCAGCCATTGCTGGAAGGGGCTCCCAAGCAAGGGTAAGGGCGGCAGGGAGGAAGGGCAAGAAATAAAAAGGCAGGGACCTTAGCCTAGGAAGTTTCGGCCGGCCTGGCTGTGTTGAAAAGGAAGAGAAAGACTGCTGGAGATGGGGAGAAGAAGGCTGAGGAAGACCTTCCAAGTGGCTCCAGTGGGGGCTGACTGGTACAGGTTCCAGTGTCCTCTGGATTGATTGGTTTCAGGGCCCAAACACTAGTTGAGTGAACATAGGCGGGAAAACAGAGATAGAGAGACAGAGAGATAGGTACCCCTCCATGTTGGCCATTGGTGCCAGCTCCCTTCCAGAATTTAACAGATGGGACTTTAGAAATAGGAAAGAAGAGAGGGTAGATTTTTGGCTGAGGGTCCCTAAGGCAGGCTGCAGCCAGAGGGTACAGCAAAGGGAATCAGGGGAAAAGTTGCTGCAAGACTCAGATTTCCCTATCAGCAGCAGAGCACACGGTTGGCCTGGAAAAAATTCTCTGGAAATTTTTGCTCAGAAACACAAGGGGCTCATACAGGGTGTACACACACACACACACACACACACACACACACACACACACACACACA